GCCCCCTGCTCCGAATCTTAATACAACTAAGAGGCAAGGGTCCAGGTCTACAAGGGGCATGCATATCAAGATATTGTTGTAATGGAGACAGCATTTCAAAGAGCCCAACAAATAAAGACAAAAGTCCTGGCTGATTTGAGAGAACGATTTCTCGTTATAATAAACCAGAAATACAAGATTCCACGGAAACTGGAACAGTTGACAGAATATGGCTGAACTTAAACCTTCAAGAGAAATAGGGTCAAACAAAGCCAAGGTATGGAGAAACCCCAAACCGGTCTGAGATAAACATTAAGGGTAACAGTCCTCAGTGCGGGTCTCTCCTGACCCCTCCCCAGCAGGCATCCACCATCTTTCTCCCACCCCCATCCCTTAAACAATGGCGTTTCCCCCTAGTGCAGGTGTGAAGCCAACCCAACATACCCCCTAGGACATGAGGCAAAGACAAGAGGACAGGTTATAAATATTACTCTAGGTAGGAAGTGCACACCCAGCCCTGCACACGTTATCGGTGTCAATGTACATGGTAGCAGTTAGTCAAATCACAGCTGTTTTCACGTGTGACCCGTTCTGTGGCCCTGTAACTAGGTCCATGTTCCTACTCTACTACAATATGCACGTGGCGGAAGGCATTCCTGAACTCTTGGTTTTCTGAACACTTCCAAGAGGCCTATTGTAGTGATGTAGACAGAAGGGAAGTGTATCTCGTGGAGCATGGGCATTAGGGAACATTGATGGGCTTTTTGGGACCTTTCAGGAAATGTTAGCATGTCAGAGCAATGACAGGTGAGGGCAGGCAGAGGTGGACAGAGGGTGACCTAGCCACAAGGCTGACATACTCATATTAAAAAAAAGTGTGGGTGAAGGGAAAACAAAAACAAAAACAACAACCCCAAAACAATGAAACAAAACCAAACCCAAGTCAGGGGAAAAAAGGATTTCATACAACATAGTATCAAAACGTGAAAGGAACACACTAAACGCACAAACTGGTGGCAGTAAGTCCACAGCCTGTTGTGACAGGTCCTTCCAGCGCCAGTCGGGTTCACCTCGAGGTTCTGCGGCCTGGTAACTTGAACTAGAGTCTTTCACAGAAGGGCAGACGGACTTCAGTCATTGGCTTCAGGGTCTGTCTGCGCCATGTAGGCATCCAGCTCGGCGTCCAGGTGTCCCTTCGTTTTCGACATGTATGCATCCAACTGGTTGTCTAGCTGCTCCTTGGTGAGCACAGGGCGAGCAAGGGCGCCTCTCCCTCGTCCACGTCCACGGCCTCGGCCTCCAAAGCCCCCTCTTCCCCGACCTATCATACCCCGACCTGGCCCAAGGGAAAAAAAAAAAGACAGTTACCAGTAGGTTTAATGGGTGCTCTGGTAAATGCCCCTCAGAGCAGGGGGGCCTAGCTGAGAGGCTGAGGGCGGGGCAAAGAGAAGTCTGGAAAACAGGAACACAGGGGAGCAAGCAACACACGGAAAGCACACACAATGAGTCCCTCAGAATACGCTCATCTCTAACTGCTGTTTCAATTGTATTCTACCAACAAAGGGAAACTGACATTTAAAAAATCTTTCTCTTTCCTAAAACCAATTATCTAAAGTTTGAAACCCATTATACGTTCATAATTAAAATACATTACAGATAACCCCATTTAATAAGATAGGGAGGAAGTAATAAGGGCACACAGCAACAGGGATGCGAAGCACGAGTTTCCAAATTAAGTTTTACTGGAGATCCTTTGGGAAATTAGCCCCCCCCCCATACACACTTCTCAAACCTAATAACCTCACGAGCTGACCCCACGTCAGGAGACGAGGAGTTACTCTGACACAGGGACAATGCAGGCAGATGGGACAAAAAATCGAGTGATCCCAGCCACTTCCAGTTCTGATTCTAGTCACTGTGTAACAATCGTGGTTATCTGAGAGGTGGTTTCAATTCACTTAAGAAAACATACCCAGCTTTCTGAAAAGCAACTTTCGACTCCCCCACCCCCGTGCTGCCTTTCAGAAACCAAGTCAAGATAATTTGGAAACATGCTATTTCATCCTGAAACCCAAACTAGCTTGTACTTCACTCAGTAAGCCAAGAAACATATAATGGGAGAGAAGAAAACAAGCTCTCAGTTATCCAGTTTCCTTTCCTAAGTTATTATCCCTTGGCAACTTCAAGGCCATAAATTATGGAAGATCCACCACACACTTTAAAAGGACCAAGCAAATATACACAGAGGCCAAGAGAATAAAAGTTTTCTTTTTCTTGGACAGGTGTTGCTGGGAGTTTTCCACTAAACTCTAAGCCAGAAAATTCCCACGAGATTTGGTGTTTTAACAGCAGCAACACCATTAGCTTCTTCCAATGGGTCCTGAGTTCACAAGACAAAATTGCTAAGTCTGAGAGGTTAAGTTTATCAACAGGAGCCAGTCAGTTAACTGACGCAGTGTCATCGTGCTGTCTGCCTTGATCAAAAAGCCCCCTCTGGTTCCCCATGGACAAAAACTTTACCTTGAATTTACTCAGTTTCAAAGTCAGCACCCAACTCCAAGTCGCACCATCCTCTAGCTGCTTCATTTTTGTACATCTCCTTCTTGATTCTTAGACTCAAAGTGGGGACTTGAATTATGGGGTGGGGTGTGTGTGGTGGGGGGCAGGGACAGAGAATGGTCAGATGCCAACTGACCACTGTCGTTTTAACAGTACAATTTCAGTTCACAATATGCAAGATGACTGCATAAAACCTGGCTCTAACATGTACCCGACTAGTTCTTGGAAAACCCACGACAGACTTTCGCACTCCGGGCGTGTGAATTTAGGAATTAAGCCAGTTTCAAAGAACAAAACAAGACAAACAAACAAGCCTGCCTGTGACTCGACGCCGTGCAGAAAGGCGGCTCTGAGTTTTGAAGGGACAGAGATCGAGGGGAAGGCTCTTCTCTGAAGTTAGTGGCTGACTAACCTCTACCACCGAGTCCTCCACGCCCCATAGCTCCACGCCCTAGGCCCCCTCTCCCAGGACCTCCACGACCTCGGACACCACCTCTTCTTAAGCCCATTCGGGGAGCTACGGCTCGTCCGCCTCGGAGCAGGTTTTGACCTTGGAGAGGAGGCATACAATGTATATGCAGGTAAATCCAAGAGAGACAAAGTAGATTCTAACCAAAGGCGGTGAGGGTTAAATGCGAGTTAATTCAAGTAATTTTTAGGTTGGGTGGGGCGAGCTGCACACGGGGCATGAATAGGTTAAGATGGCTCTTTATTCAATCAATTCAATAAGTCTGACCCAAAATCTTTTTGGAAGAAGCTGGGAGTTAAGGTAATTAGTAAATGCACACATTTAATAAGTTTCTATTGAATAATCAGATAGGTGTCTAACATGATAGATTTAAAATAAATGATATGGTTCCTGCTCTTCATACATTCTTACAAGGGACAAGAACTACACAGGGAACAACAGTTTAACAGTGCTCCAAATGTAACAGGATAGCTAGGCGCTAAGGGTCAACTTTTTTTTTTTTTTTAAACAGATGTAACAGTGTTTCACTAGCACCAGGAAAACATGACTGGTTAAGATACAGGCCAACAGACCTGTGAGTCTCTTAGGTTGGACTTAGTTCCAGAACTTGAATATGCTCTGATTCAAGCNTTGGAATCTTAACTGCTCTGTGAAAGGCTTTGGAACTCACTGTCACCTAGGCACTGGAAAACATCTTAGGTTTGTTCCATCTCCACATAAGTCTTACAAGGTACATAAGAACGTCAATGATGGCAACTGGGTATTGAGAATAAGAACTCTCGAGTTCTGTGGCAGACACTAATTTAGCTGATAACTCCTTTACCCCAAGACTTAAAAAATTAGGATTTTCATTGTGTTGGGGACTTCCAAGACATCCCTTGAAAATTGGAGAAATACCCTGAGAACTCATAAAGCAGAGCAAACAATCACCGTTGGTAGGGAATTCTTTTACCTGGGCATTCTGTAGAATGTTGTTGACCAAGACAACTCGTCGCCGGGCATTAAGTAGCTTCTTCACATACGGGTCGAGATCCAGGGCCACTTTCTGATCCTCATTGATACGGCCCAGTTCTGGGGATGGCAGTAAGGGGCAGTTAACACCTACTGCTCATTTGCTGTTCTTTGGCAAAGTAGGCTAGTTAATGGGATGGAAAACGCTCTTGCACCCACATGGGCCACAGTCACTAGAAACTTGAATCCGCCAGCAGCGCTGATGTGCTGGAAGGAAGTGACAGAAACCCAGCCCAGGACGGCAAAACACAAGGTCCTGAACGTGAGCTGGAGGATTCCGCGTAAACGGATGCTTACCAGTAGCGAGGTTATCAATCTGTTCCCGGAGCTCCACCTGGCTCTCTCTGCAAAGAGGTACAAGGCCTACACGGTCAGTCAATGGAACTCCAGAAACCTGTTTCCCTGCGTGTTTCCCCAGAGCCGAGAAAAGCCAGCCTCACGCCCCCAACCCACGCCCCACCCCGCGGCCTTCCGGTCCGCCCTGCCTCCAATCAGTTTCCCAAATTTCTTCTCAGTCCCATCAAAACCCCTGCAGGAACCCATCTACGCTCCACCCCCCCTTGGCCCCGCCCCTACAAAGCCAAATCAAGGAATGGCCCCGCCCCAACCTTCCTTCTTGGGCACCTGACGGCGTGGACGTGCGAGTCGAGCTGCTGCACAGCCGGTCGCAGGAACTCGAGGAGCCCCTCGGCGAAGAGGTCGCGGCCTGCGGGCCCTGCCACCGGGGTTCCAGCCCCGGACACAGCGGCGGAACCAGACCCGGCCATCACGAACTGCCCTTACGCCAGGAACCTGCCGCGAGGGCCGCCGGGAACAAGAGCCCCGCTGAAGTGCCCCGCGAGGGGGCGCCCGGGAAATGCCGGCGCCGACCCAGGCGCTGGGGCTTCTGGGAAATGGAGTCCCTGGAGTGGGCAGGGCGGGGAGAAGGGTCCGGGGCCTCAGGGCTCTCGGGAGTTGTAGTTCGTCATAGGTCTTGAAGTGGAGGGTTTTGACTATCCCAAGTTAAGGAGCTGAAGCAAGGAACCATTTTGGGGGCTGGGTACTTTTGTTTTCTTAAAGGTGAAAAATAAATTCTTATATCCGCAGTTGTCCATAGCCTTCCTATGTAAACTTTATGAGAAAACCAGATTATATTCATAGTATGATAAAATGTGGTTTATCTCTATAGCAGATCAGTGTTGCCAGAGGCTGTGGGGAAGGGGAATGGGGAGCTATCATTTAATGGGTAGTTTCAGTGGGTGATCAGTAGTGGTGATGGTTGTACAATAAAGTGAATTTACTTAATGCCACTTTATACACTTAAAAATGGTTAGAGGTAAATTTTGTTACGTGTTATTTTGCCAGTTAAAAAAATTCCTTCAAGAGCCGGCCGAGTGCGCGATGGTTAAGAACTGGCTTGGGACGCCAGAGGGCCCCGGTTCGGATCCCACATATGAGGGCCAGTGACACTGCCCGGGTACAGGAGGTGTCCCATGCTGAGCCTTCCAATTTCTCAGTCCTGGCTACTTCCCCTTTTCTATTACTTGCCCTTGCTCCAGCCTTGAACATGGCGCAGATATCAGTGCAGAGTAGCTTACAGATGTATAGAAAGTCTGCATAATAATAATGATGTTCTTTATCTCCTTTTCTGTCCTTCAAGTGGAAGCCGTTGCTGCCCTAGGGAACAAAGTCGTGGAAAGCCTAAGAGCACAGGATCCTTCTGAAGGTTTGCGTTTGTTGCTGGACTTGTATTTAGTGGTCATAGGAGCCAGGTCTGTAATTATAAGTGCACTCTTCACAAAGTCAGGTCAGGCTAGAAGGAAGCGTGAATGCAGAGTTTTCTGTTGGGGGATCTCCAGCGGTCAGAATTATCTCCCTTCCTTTTCAAACTCCATTCTAAACCCTCATTCTGTACTTGTGCTGCTTTTTACAAACCTATCTGTCCCCCAGCCTGCCCTTACTTTGGTCACCTAACGGACATGTACGAGTTAGTTTTTGGTTTTTATTTTTCAGTTTTGACCATGCTGACCAATGAAACTGGCTTTGAGATCAGTTCTTCGGATGCCACCGTGAAGATTCTCATTACGACGGTGCCACCCAATCTCCGGAAACTGGACCCAGAACTCCACTGTTAGTCCTTTTTTCCCCATTGCTGGGAAACGGGGGAAATTCAGAATGTGGTATCAAGTCTCTATGGAGTTTCCTTAGCGTGTTGCTTCAGCACATGAAACCTACTGGGACCTGTTTTCCCAACTGTGCTGTCTCCTGTCACTCGGAGACAGCTTTGCCAGCTTGCTAGTGAAACTGCCAAAGACAGGATGGCCAGCTTGAGAACTTCAAAAGGACTGAGGAAATGTTTATGGAGGGGGTGGGCTTTGGGAGCAAATCATGCATCTTGTATGCTTCTAGATGTCGTTTGGGGGAGGAGGAGTGAGGTTTGGACAAGTGATGTGCTGATCTGAACATGGGGAGGTTTTAAGGAATTAGATTATCCTGTCCTCTTTCCAACATACTGACCTGTGGCAGTGGGATTGAATTGCTTGCTCAGTAACAGGAGTGTCATTTTGGCCTGTCATGCTTGTCTTCCAGTGGACATCAAGGTGTTGCAGAGTGCCTTAGCAGCCATCCGACATGCCCGCTGGTTTGAGGAAAACGCTTCTCAGTCCACGTGAGTCCCTCCCTCAGCATTGATACCCTAACCCGTCTAACTGCCATGAATCACACGATACCCCCATACTTCCTGTGACAGCCCTTTTTTGGCTCCAATCTTCTGTCTGGATTTTGATTTTTACCTTAAGCAAGCAAATTTAAATTGAGAGAAAGGACAGAACACGCCGTTCTAGAAATAGCTTCAGCTCTGGAGCTCAGGGGCGGAAGTACATGACCAGATTACTTTTCACCGCTGGGTCCCTCTTCCTTTCAGAGTCAAAGTTCTCATCAGGCTGCTGAAGGACCTGAGGATTCGCTTTCCTGGCTTCGAGCCCCTCACACCCTGGATCCTCGACCTACTCGTAAGTAAAGGGCAGCTGGAGTTCCTGATCGTCCCTCTGTAAGTCGTTACTCTGACGTCTACCACAAGCTGAAATTTGGTGAAGGTTGAAAGAAGTTTCATTGGGGGATGAGTACTCCAGTAAAGACTGTTACTACCTCACTGGGTTATTGGAGTATTAAATGAGAACTGTTTCTGCCCCTTCGCCTTTTTCCTTACCACTGTCATTTCATCAATGTGATAATGGAGAGAACGGACTAGATGAACAGTCACTTGGCTAGACCTTCATAACCAGTTTTCCTCCTGAGGGTTGAGGTTTTAGTTTGATTAATGATCGATTGCCACTTGTGTGCATGCCTACCAGATCTGTTCTTTTCCAGGGGCACTATGCTGTGATGAACAACCCCACCAGACAGCCTTTGGCCCTGAACGTGGCGTACAGGTACAGTGTCTCTGGGCTCGAGGCTGGGTGGAAGCTGTCTTGTGTGTTCTTCACGACCTACCTCCTGTGTTTCAGGCGTTGCCTGCAGATCCTGGCTGCAGGCCTGTTCCTGCCGGGGTCGATGGGCATCACGGACCCCTGTGAGAGTGGCAACTTCAGAGTACACACAGTCATGACTCTGGAACAGCAGGTATTGGGACGGCTCTCAAATGNCTCTTAGGTTGGACTTAGTTCCAGAACTTGAATATGCTCTGATTCAAGCGGCAGCAGGGTGTTTTAACGTGGAATGGAGATGACATGAATTACCTGGTGTTATGCAGGTCATAGCCTTTCACCATTGCACATTATCAGAAAAGGAATGGTATCGATAAAAGACATGCAGCACTATTAAAATATGTGATTTCAAAAATTATTAATTGTATTTTATAAGTTCAGGCTTAAAGATGTTAAACAAATGTGTCCATAAGCAGCCCAAGAGAAAAGGGGTGGGACCCGACAATTACCAGGCACACAGCACTGACCTCGGAGCGACATCCCGCCCCTAAGTAGGGTTCTCGTGGCTCGTCCCCCACGGAGTCCTCCTCTGGGTAAGCCTCTCTGGATTATGGGCAGGCCTCGTCCTCCGATCGCTCCCCTGGCCAGGGCCCCTATGGGCCGGCCTAACCGTGCCTGGATGTTACTCTTACCCAGGCGCTGCTTTAAGCTCTTCTGGAAGAAAAGGTGTTGGGGGATTGAGATCAAAAAAGCAATCCAGTAGGATTTGGCATCTCAAAGTGCAGAGAAAAAGCAGCAAGTGAGATGTCTGTGTGGAGGCAGATAAACTTGCTGCGGGTGTCATAGGATCCTAAACCGGAAGCGAGCCTTTGCCTCGGAACATGGCACGAAAGCAGCAAACTTCTGATCCAGAGCTTGTAAGAAGCTCGAGTGCCGTCCCATGAAATTGGCGTCACCACAAATTCCCTCACTAGTTTGGCTACAGAAGTCACACACCACCACTTGGAACTTGATTTTAGTACGATCACTTGTGTATTTCAAATCCTGGACTTTTTTTTTTTTAGCTGAGCCATCCTGCCACCTGTTGGCAGGTAAGCTCAGGCATCAAACCGGAGACCCTGTTGCTCAGAGCTCGCACTCTTGAGCGAGCTCTTAACCAGCTGAGCCACTTGGCCGGCCCTTGTTTTTGAACCACAGGTTGACAATGACACGACTTGATCCATACCTGCCCAAGGACTATCACTGTCTTCAATGGCTTACTCAAACATCACAGAAAGTTCATCACTCTGGGCAAAATTTAAAGTAAATGTTCATCTGAATTCTTGTGACTCAAGAACAAGATTTGATTTCTCAGAGAGGCCAGTGTGTTCCATTTCTCCTCTGAATATCTATCTCCAGACGGTCCACTTTTTACCTTAAGATGTAAATAAACACAGAAAGTCAAACCTCCTTTCCTTACATTCCTTAAACAGCCGTAATTCCATGTCTACCCTTGCAAACAGCTCCATTCAGCCAGTATACTGACCTTTAATTCAAAGTAAACATCTACTCAAAATATATTTCCAGAGCGCCAGCCCAACTTGCATTCGAATGGACAAGTGAGATATAATCACAAAACTCAGGGCCACGCTTAAGGACAAGGATACACCAGAGCTGAAGATTTTTCAATAACCTGTCCCTCAAAGACAAACTATGAAGACCACATCCCAAAGAATTAAGTTCCTTCAAAGGAAAAGGTGACTGTGACCGTGAATACAACCAAGGTCTCAGCAAACCTGGTTTTCCTATAAAGCCATCAGTCAATATGAGTGAAAATCCATCCTATGTATCCTGAGGCTTTACCCTAAATGACTACTAAGGACTTTTGCAACCACACGTTAAGTTACCGTTAGCTTTCTAGCACGAGATCATAAACTGCTTCCACTCAGGGGGCAGGCTCTGAACATCAGGCACCTGGCGTGATCAGCGTAACCAATCAGAAAAGTCTGTCACATCACTCCGGATAGCATTCAATTATGAGGTCAGGATTCCATTCTACATGTCGCTTGTGTTCAGTATCCTGAGCCTATTCTCCCAAGATCGGTGCTTTAAGGGGAGAATGTACAGTGCTTACAAGTTCTCCCTTCCCAATCCTTACTTGCTACCAATACTGGCCTCTAACATTGATGGGAAGCTTAAGGATGCCCACTATACCATCCAGTTTCCACTCTAGACCACACGTGGCTATTCAAATGACACGTCAAAAAATAAATAAAAGCCCCTTCTTCACACTGGCCAGGTGTTGAGTGCTCACAAGTCACATGTAGCTAGTGGCTAACACACTGGAGAGCAGAGAGAGAGAACACTTCCACCACTGGAGAAAGTTACATTGGATGGCACTGCTCTGCAAGCTACTTTTTGCACAACGTGTATTTCAAGCTTCTTGTTGAAAGGTCCTTTGGTATGATTTCTCAGGCATCTTCAGCAATTTTTTATATTTGCTCTTGGAAAATGGTGGTGCCTTTCACTGCTCTCCAAAGTCAGGGACGAATGCAGTCACTCTAAGGCTTAAGTAGGCTGAAGCGGAAGACCTTGTTTATTTTTGGTCAGTGAGCCCAGTGGTTCAGGGTGGGGGTGGGGGTTATATTTAACTGCTGAATATATGCGCAGCCATGCAGTGCCATCAGGTCAAGTCCTTACAGTTGCATGGCACCGCCCTCCAGACGCCCAGCCACAGCTTGGACATATCCTTCCACAGCCACTGTCCGGACTTGCATATAAAGTCTATGAATAATAAAGAGCAGGTTTTATTTCAGGTCTGAAAAGGATTATCTCTTACCGGAAATTTGAAAGAGAACCCACTAACTCTTCAATTAATTACTCAGTGCTCTCGCTCTACTTTACTGACAGAACTTTAGGTGCTGTGGAGATGAGGGTCACCTCTTTGAGTATTGAAAACCATTGATAAGGCCGTTCATTCATGAGTCTGAATAGATTAGGGGAGAAAGAATAAAATGATTTCTCTAATTTGTAAGTCATTTAACAGGGAATAAAGGATTTTGTTTTTTAAGATCATCTAGAACAGAAACCAAAAACTTCTTTGTGAAAAAAGCCAGCGAATTTACTTTATGGGTGAAGGATCAGAAAACAAGAGATTAATACTCATTGATAACATAGAAACGGGCCACATTGATGGCAAACCCCCTAAAAGAGAAAGGCAACAAATAGTTACTCATTGGTACCTGCCGAAAGGGGGTTCTCTGAACTTCTCTCCCCCCAGAGAAGTTTCAGCTTTTGCCCTGAGCCACCTTGTCAGCATCCATCACGGCCTGACAGAGATCACCAGCTGCCTCTGGAGCGCTATGACCCATCCTCTCACCTGCTTAAGTTTTAATGCTGCCTGGACAGAGGGTCTATTCTCCATCTGCTGGGCCAGTCTTCTGTTTCTGGCACTGGCTAGCTGCTGCTGTTGCTGCATCGAAGCCCGAATATTCACTGGCATCGGCTGTTTGTTCTTCAGCATATTAGTAAAGCTTCAAGGTCGAACAAAACGGATGTTTAAATAAAAGCTTTATTACAAAACATTTATTGGCATTTTCATGGCTTGCTAGACCAGGAGCTCCAGATCCCACGAACTTTTAAGTAAAGTGGTACTTAGATCAAGGCTGATGTGGGTTAAAGACTCCTCTGCTTCCACAAACTTGCAAGAATCAGAAACTTAGAAATGCAGCTAAGTGCAGCACATTCACTCAAAAGTGATAACAAGGGCTCAGGTAACGGCTTTTAGAGGTGGAAGTTATGAAAAACACGCAATAAGCAGATATGATGACAACATGAGACAGAAGATGTAGTTTCAAAGACAAACAAAGAAAGCCAAAACCTTGGGAGACCTGAGGGTGCATTTTAAGGACAAATGTAAAAAAGGACTAGAGCGCCTTTGAAGCCCGCGGGAATAGCGCACTCATAAATTACACAGGAGCGTATCACATTTTCCCCTTGGTTCACTTAGTAACATGTGAACACAGAGAATTAGTGTATCATACCCTAGAAGATAAAGGTACATGCTTCAGAAAAGGCGAAAATAAACATTAAGTAAATCTTCTAGTGGTGTAAGATCCACTTAATAAAAATCACTGGTCAAAGGCACTCAACGAACACAGCTCTCACAGACAGAGGCTGCCTTTTAATACCTTTTAATTTTCTTAGTCTCAAATGATTACTTTTTCTGATTTCGATTACTTGTGAAGGTTAGATTAGTTCAACCGTTTAAGAACTTGTGAAGACACTCTTCTATTACTCCTGTCAGGGTAAGTTTAATGGGATGGAAGAGAAGAACACTTAACTGTAAAAGAATCCAAAAACAAAAACAAACGAAAAGCAGAATGGAAAGAAAGTGAAATGGAGCAAAAGCAAGTGCCTCTTACAAGGCCCAAGAATGGCGTTCAAGGGCCTTTGGACATATCCACGGCTTGCTACCTGCCTCTTACAGGCCAGACACAACACTGCTGGCCTTGGACTGGGCAGCAAGCCGACTGCAGGCTGCAGCCTGGGTACCGTGCTACCGAGCTGCACCATCCCTGTGTCAACGTTAAAAATGTGAAGAAAAGGGAGGTGTGAGGAGTCTTTTTAAAATACATCCCACCAGACAAATATTTCAGACAGCTTAACACAGAAAACTACTGATAAGGGGTTTTGAAACAACCGCCCAATTTGCTTTGTGTACCACATAAAGATGCAACTAAGAACAGAGGTCTGTAGCCTTCTGTTGGTATTTAGCTTAAAACCGGCTTTTGTGCATTGGACCCCAGGCCAATTTAAGTAATGTTTTCTTATGAACGAGCTGAAGTTGCTGTTGGCTGCCTCACCGCTCATTTAGAGACATCTTGGTGGTGCTTTTTAGCACAACTTTCGGCGCTGACGGTGCAGCCATCTTCAAATCCCGGTAATCTACAAAGGACAATAGGCAGAATGAGCAAATCAGAATAACAACGACCTCATTTCTGCAAGGGCCACGGGCCCAAACCAACAGCAAATGAAAAGGCCCCTATCCACGACTATTTAAGAACGCACTCAAACTCCTTTCAGGTGCTTACGTTTGCAAATCACCTCAAACTGCGGCCCTTCAAGGCCACAGGACAGAAAGTATCTGCCAAAGCCTCCAAAATGGCAGACCTGGCTCGGGGACGTGGACGAGTTTGGCTTTTCATCTCGAGTGGCCCTTCTCAACCTTGGCTGCGAGGAGCTTTTAAAAAAAACAACAACGTAGAAGCCTGGGCCCAAACCAATTAAACCGCAATCTCTGGCGGTGAGGTCTGAGGATCAGAAATCAGAAGGGTTTGGGAAAAAGGCTGCCTACGTGCCTCGCAGGTGCAGCCCAAACCGGGGAACCATCGATCTAGAGAAATGATACAGGCGTACCCAATTTCAAAACTGGCTTTCGACTCCAAAAATCGAGTCGGGGCCTCAGCAAGGGGCTGGGGGCTGGAAGAGGGAGCAGCGGAGGTCTCCTAACTGGGCCTTCCCCGGGGACCTGGCTCCCGGAGCGCGCGCGACAAGCTTTAGCCCTCAGGCCGCCATGCCTTTGCAACGACCCCCGAGTCCTGCTGTGGTCCTCGTTTCATCTCTCCACCATCTCCACGCCCCGGCAAGACCGCCGGCTTGGCTCCACCCGCCCAACGATCTCGCTTTCCATCCCTATCAGATCCCAACCTTGCTCGTCCCGCGGTCCCGCCACCAGGTTGCAGTCCAGGCCCGCCCCCGCGTTCCTCCCCGGGGCCCCGCCCCCTCCCCGGGGCCTCCACGCGCCAGCACCCCATCTGCTTCCACATCCCACCCGGCTCGCGTCCGCCGGCCCCTGTCCGCTCCCCACGGCCTGCCCCCTCCTCCTCCTCCTCACCACAGAGACGTACCGAAGGAAAAGGACGCCAGTGCTCCTCCCGGGGCTGCCACCACGGCTGCGGCAGGCGGGCCGGGGGCCGGCCGAAGCTGAGTTGACTGACGGTGGAGAGGGGCTCGGGTTAGCTTGGTGGGCGGTTGGTTAGATGCGTAAGCGGTCGATTGCTAGGTTAGTTCGTTATTGTTGGCGGGCTGTCTGGTCGGCTGGTCCGCCTGCTCGCCCGGCCTGCCCTCTCCTGCCTCTCGTCTGTACCACCGCAAGCCCCTGCCGCCAACTCTCGCCCGGAGTCCAAACAAAATGGCCGCCACGCCCAGTGCGGAGTGGGACCGGCTAAAATGGCGTCGACGCAATTACGTCAGGCGACAGACCCACGCACACCTGGTGGGCGGGAAGAGTTGTGTTACGCCTGCGCGGCGATCGGGGCGGAGCCCTAGGGAGAAGGCGGGGCTTTAGCCGCCGCCCCGCCTCCCGAGTGCCCGCAGTGCTCTGCCCACGAGGGGGCGTGGCCAAACGGCCACGCTGTTGGGTCTTGCAGGGAGGGCTTCGTGTTGGAGACAGGGTTGCTAGTAACCTTTAGGGCCGCTCCGAGCGCATTGGATCCGGATGCAACAATTGCTCGTATTTTATCGCGATCTTGCCCGACCCCCTAAGCTAAGGCAGATCGCTCAAAACTGTTTACCCGGGACTTGTTAAATCCTTATTTGGTGGGAACATTTGCGTACCTGCTCCCCCTTCCACGTCCTCCCTAGCCATCTGCCATCCATGTGGATTTTGATGCAGACATGTATAGGGTTTTTCTAATGCCTGGGTACACAATAAAATGCTAAAATGTCTGAAGAATGAATGAATGAATGAATGGATGAATGAATACATCTTCAACCCTTCCTCCACCCTATACACGCTCATCAGGGTCCTTCCTAGCATTTATGTGTATGTGTTTAACGGTCTGGCATCCTCACTGGACTTGAGAGTAAGGGGCCTGTTTGTTTTGATCGCCTTCGTATCCCCAGTTCCTATACAATATTTAGCACATGGGAGAGCCTCTAAATATTATTTAAATGCTGAGGGGAAATTCTTTTTCTGGCTTTATAGCTGAGAAGCTAATGTCTCCTCCACTTCCAGTTGGTACCTTGAACCCCTGCCTCCCAGGGCCTTGACCATTCCTCGAGTAGGAAGATGTAATGGTCCCTTGACCTCTCCAAATAAGATCCAACCCCAAATAAGGCAAGTTGGGAGGGAGCCCACCCACTTCCCCACCCAATTCCAGAGCCCAAAGGAGAGACAACAGACTGGCGAGAGAGGAGCCTTTAATGAAAGACGAGTTGCAGGCCTGGCCCACTACTCTTGCGCCCTTGTTGGAGGGTAGGCACGGGTGGGACTGTGCGGAGGGGAAAGGGGGGTGAGGGGGAAGCAGAGTATAGGGGCAGGTGTGGCAGGGTAGAGGGGAAGGGCGCTGCCTACTGGGGCTGTCTGCTCAGCTGTTCTCCCAGAAGAAGTTGTTACAGGCCACTGTGAGGGCAGCCACCAGCACCACGTACTCCTGGAAGTCGACCTCCCCATCTCCGTTCTCGTCCAGCTCCTTCATCACCTTGTCCACAGCATCCGCATCCTTCTGGGCCTGTGAAGGGAGGAGATGGACAGGTAGGTGGCTAGAGATGGTTGGCACTGAGTTAGAGCCAAGCCGGGTGGTTGATCGGGGAGAAGGAGGCAGAGCTGAGCAGGAGGGAGTGCTATATCTCATTAGGGGATTCTTCTGCTGCTGCCTTCCTCAGGACTAACAAACACTGTGGCCTCCTGTTGCCTAGAGTAAGCACCTCAACAAAGCAGAGTAATAATATCAATTATCACATGTCGAGCGCCTACAACGGACAAGCACTACACCAGGAACTTGATAAACATTGTTTCATTTGATTCTAACAAATAGTATGAAATAAGTTTCATTATTCCCGTTCTAGAGAAGAAACAAATTGACAGTTGGTGGTTAAATAATATGTCCAAAGTCACACAACTAGAGCGTGGCAGCGCCCGAGCTTGATTGAGCCCAGGGCTAATAAGACCTCAGAGCTGGTGCACTTGCTACCGGCTTCTCCTTCAGCCTCCTTTTCTGCATCCTTCACTCCCGTCAAAACTACCGAGCATGCTCCATATTCTTCTTTCTGCCATGCTTTTCTTCAGGCAAACACCTCTTCCTAAAATGTCTACTTTCACCCTAATCATCTTCCACTGAAAACCTATGGCTCAAGTGTCACCTCTTTGGAGAAGCCATCCCACTTCAGTCAAGTTAATATTCTCCCACAATCCTTCCTGGCACCTCTGTTAAGGCACTGTGCATTTCCTGGTGTCCAAAATTTACTTTCAAGTGTGAACCTTCCCTTTCCAGATGGTGAGCCTTGTTATTGATGTGTCTACACAGGGCCTGGCCCTTGACAGGATCAATAAATTGGGGCACTTTGACTTGAACCAGGAGGAGTTGGGGAACCTGGAAAAACCCGGGTGAGAAGCCTGGGAGAGGAAGGAGATGGTTGGGCTGAGCTGGGGTGAGGTGGGGAAATGGCAGGGAGGTGCCCACTCTGCTACCCCTCCCCCCCGCAACCCTTGCCCGCTCCATCCCGTACCCCGACCCTGTGCTCACATCCAGGAAGCCGGAGAGCTCCGTCTGCAGCAGCTCTTTCAGTTCCTTCTTGCTCAGCTTGTACTTGTCCCCTTCCTTGCCCGAGTGGGTATGGAACACGTTGATGAGGGTCTCCATCGCTGTCTCCAGCTCAGAACCCATTGCGAAGCTCACCTATGCACCCCCCCACACCATGGAAGTGAGCTGGGGACCATGCTCAGGACTATCTGGGGTCAGGTTGAAGTGGTCCCACAGCCCAAATAGCCATGAGATTGGAACCCCATCACAATTTACCTTTCACTGGGATTTTACACTGTAGGGGAACCCAGGCAGATCTAAGTCCAGACCTGCTTTGTTGTGTCCCTCAATCCACAGGCCCGCCAGAGGGAGTCAGAGTTTGGGGCATGGAGGCTGAACAGCTGGAGCAGGGCTGGCTCTAAAGGCCTGCAGTGGACCCTGCAGTGTCTCCTGGCTGGCTGCACAGACACAGGAGGGTGTGGCCGGCAGGCAGGGGTGGTCACAGGACCCAGCCAGGCCTCCTCTGGCTCTATTTTTACCCTGGACCTTGCCTGCCTAGCATAGCCAAGCTCTGCGGTTGGAAGTGGTGGGCCGGGCTCCTCTCTACAGACCTGACTCTGTTGCCCACCCCTGGCAAGGAGTCAGCCTGGTGCCCTCAGTCAGCCTGATGGAGAGGGTGGCAGCCTGAGTGGGTGGCCCAAGGGTCATGGGAAGGAGGTCTCATTGCTTCTGAGCTTCCTATCAGCAGGCCCTCAACTCTGTTCTCTCCTGAGCATGGCACTTGCCCTGGGCACACCTCTAGCTTGGTTCCTTTTCTGCAGAGCCAGCCCTTCCATTGGGTGGTGGTGGGAAGGGACAGGAATGTCTGAAACTTTTCCCTGGAGCCAGAGCTTCTGGGGAGGGGGAGAGGAGACCCAGGAGACCCCTGAGGCCTTGTCCCTGCTGGCAGCCACTCCCACCCTCCAGGCCCAGCCTGACTGAAGTGGGGACAGTGGCAGCAGGGAGAGGGGGGCTGGTATGTATTGAGGGAGACAAAGGGCTGAGTGCATGAGGTCCTCTGAGTTCAAGGGGCTGGGAGAGAAGAGGACAAAAATGGAGGGGCCTGTTGAGCAGAGGGGACTGCCAAGCCAGGGGGCCTCTTTCCCTGTCTTGGGACATTCAGCCCGTCCACAGCCTCAGGGGGCGGCTCAGGTGTCTTAGATCAGGTGTCCCCATCCTTCCCTAGGCCCGAGGGGCTGGACAATGGGCCCTGATCAGATGACATCCCAGCTCTTCAATGGGGCCCTTGTGAGTGTCACCTGAACTCCGGACATGAGAAGTGGTTGTCACAGAGACGTGGGGGAGATGGAACCCAAGCCGGGGCTGATGGAGGGGATAAGGGACATGTGAGGGAGGGGTGCTGGTGGCTCAGTTACCGGCCCCATCCAGGAGGGGCACCTGGGGGTTGCCTGGAGCTCTCTAGCAGCCAAGCATTTCATGTGGGGGCTGTTCTGAGAGGACCTTGGCAGGGAGGGGGCAGGTGGGAAAACAAAGAGAAAAGAATTGGGGGAAAGAGGAGTCTGGAGGTCTGGGCCAAGAAAGAGGAGGAGGAGAGAGGGGGAGTTGGGAGGGGGTACCATACCTGAGTGTCCCCTCTTCCTGATGTCACATGGTCCATGCTCTGCCACCCCCAGACTTCCCTGGGCCCTGAGCTCTTGGCAAGGCTGGGTGGGGGAGGCCAAGCAGCTGCTCCATTTGCTTTCTCCTGCGCACCCCCCTGGATGTGAGCCAAGAGCTGGGACCCCTCCCCAGCACCTGCGAGATGGCTGGAGCCTTGGGAGGGCACTTGAGGGCTTCGTGGCAGGAGAGCCCGATGTCCTGGAAGCTGGGGTCCCCGCTGGCTTCCTCGTTCACTGACTTTCCAGAGCTCCCTCTGACCTTCACTTGTCTCCCCTCACCACCTTCTAAATCCTGTCTCCCCCAAACCCCAAACTGCTGTCACTCAAGCTCATCCCACCCTCAGTGTACCACAAGGCCATCGTCCCCAGACGCGTGGAGCCCTGCCGAACTCCCGTTTCCCCCAAGCTGGCCAGGGCAGGATGGGGCAGGATACTCACTGTCAGCCTGGGCCTGAGGTGGGAGCAGGTTCTGGACAGACAGACGAGGCTGCAAATGTGGCTCCCAGAGCTGTGTGTGGAGACCTGTCTTCAGTCGTCCTTCCCCCGCTGACCCCCCTCCCCACTGGCTCCACCCCTTCACAGACAGACACCCAGTGGGGCAAGGGGCCAGGAGTGGACAGAGGCGCCCTCTGTCTCCTGGGCTGGAACAAGCTGCCCTGTGTCCTCTTCTCCAGCCTCGGTTGCCTCCCCGCTTCTGCTGGGCCCCAACAGGCAGGCCCTGGGAGGAAGGGAGGTGGGAAAGGTCCTGGGAAGGGCACTGAGAACCCCCCCCCCGCAGTCCCCGGTTGTGGCCAGCTAGGCAGGGAGGGGCGGAGGCCACTGAGGGGTCTCAGTGAAAGGACCTCTCAGTGAATAATTCAATCTTGGGGGTCACCCTCAGGGGTTTCAGTGTGAGACCCCACTGAGGGATTTCAATCCAGGGTCTCCTCTACGGGGATGGAGATTAAAAAACCAGGCCACAGACTGAACCTGACAAGCTCAGGGGAGCCTGCACGGCGGGCCCTACAAACTCAGAGACGGAGAGTACCCACCCAGGATGGTCGGAACATAAAAATTCCTAACTAAAAGCGGGTCATGGCAGGTAGTCACATCCTAGGCCTGCAGCTTCCTCGACAAAGGTCAATCTTTACCTTAAGTGAGCCTGACTATTTATTTCCTTTTTGCGTCTAAGATAACATACATTTGAAATGTCAGAATAATCGCCTTTTCCAGACGCCTCAGGGCACAGCCTCGCAGCAGAGCACAGACCACAGAACCATTCAATCACTGTTATCTTGTCCCCCGCCCCCACATGCCATCTCCATGTGCTGTAAATATTATCTGTCCTGCACCCACAGTGTAAAAGAACTATGTGTCCCTCCCTTTTACTTTTTATCCAATCCCAGAGACGCCCCCGTTGCTTTCTCCCACCCCCCTAACCTACCGCCCGCCCGTGGATTCCATGTAACCCCCTTAGCCTCCTCCTTTGAGTCTAATGTATGAAATAAGCTGCAAAACTGCCATTCTCGGGAGCGTTTTCTCAATCCGTTGAGATTTTGCTTTCAGTCAATTACTGTCAGTTTGGCTCAGATAAACTTATAAAAATTCTCTACAGGTTTGGACGTTTCTTACTGTCAACAGGGGTCTCAGTGTGATTCCCCTGTCTGTGGGGTCTTGGTCTGGGATTCGCTGAAGGGATCTTGGGCTTCAGGGTCCTTTGAGAGATCCCATTCTGTGATGTGGTGTTTCTTAGATTGGGCTTCTTAGTCCGGAGTGAGCTCCCTCAGTTGGCTCTTTCAATCAATCTGCAGTCGCCTCCCGTGCCCCCCACCCCCCATCAAACACACTCCTGATTAAATGTTGCAGTGTGGTGGGACAGAGGCTCCCCGTATTGGGAGGGATAGGACCCTAGATCCTGGCTGAGTGGGATCTGGCTCGGCAGCTCCAGTCAGATCTCCGACCTAGTGGGGGCAGGTGTGGGCTGGGCTGAAGGCGTTGGGGTTCCAGGGCGGGTTGCTGGGCGCTGGGCGGGAGGGGGCGCCAGGAGTGATTGGGCGTTTCCTCTCTCCATAATCAACCAGGAAACTTGAAACCTCCTGCCTCGGGAGGGGCCTTGGCCTCCCTGCCCAGCGCTTATAAACCTCAGCCCTGCGGCAACCGCGTGTTGCACCCCATCTCTGTGACTTGCCCTGGTGAGTCGTGTCCCCCTAATTCTTGAGGGAACCCGGGGAGCCTTTTTCCGCCCTGGGATCCCGGGTCCCTCCCCTGGAGCCAGCTCAGACTGGGATTCAGGAAGTGGCTTGGGGAGATCTGACCACAGTCTCTGCGGGAGTGGGGTGCGGGGGTGGGGCAGAAAACGGAGGATAAGTTGGCGCGTCCCTTTACTCCAGCCTGTTCCCTGGGGCTGTGTGTGCCGGGACCAAGCCCTGCCTGGGCGCCGGCTGTCAGCAAGGCCCAACCAGGACCCCTGTCACAGAGAGACAGGGACCGGAGGTCCGCTGGGTCCTGGGCTCAGCGCTGGCCCTGCGGGGAGGTGGGGAAGGGCCACGGGGAGGCTGGGTCTGTCGGGACAGAGCCAGCCTTGAGTAAGGCTGGGCATTTGCCAGACCGGGGCTGCTCTGCCGGGAGGAGAAGGCGGGTGGAGACCCAGGTCCCCACACAAACAAGCTTTGGAGACAAACAACCTCCTGACCCTTTGAGGCTGGGTGAGAGTCCAAGAAAAAGCCCTGTCACTGAACCCCACAGAGAGGCCAGGAGACTCAGAGGGTTCCTAGCAGGACCCTCAGATTGAAAGCCTCCTCCTGGACAGAGGGGTCTCCAGACTGTGGGACCACCACAGAGGGGTCCCTAAGACATAGGTACTTCAAAGGACCCCTAGATTGTGAGATCTAGAGAGGAGTGAACGCTCCTTTCCCCACCTACACTGAGGGACTCCCTGCCCCAAGCTCTATCCCTGTCCTCCATAATGCCTTCTCCGGGCAGAAGTCTGAGGTAGCAGCTTGGGACAGGGGTTGCCTGTCCTGACTTTCCCTTTCTCTCCTGCAGGTCAGCCCGTGAGGACATCAGCTCCAGCCCTAATGGCAGCGGAGCCATGGACCGAGCTGGAGACAGCCATCAAGACGGTGGTCACCACCTTCTTCGACTTTGCAGGGCGGGAGGGCCGGAAGGGCAGCCTCAGCATCAATGAGTTTAAGGAACTGGTCACTCAGCAGTTGCCTCACCTGCTCAAGGTAGGTGGGGGTGTCTCTGGGCCTGAGATTTTGTTAGACAGTGGCTGTGGGACACTGTGTACGTGATGTGATATTGCTGGGCACGATAACGTGACCACAGGTGTGTCGTGGAGAAAGGTGTGGGTGACTGCATGTGTAAGTGGCTCTGGGTGTTCTTGCCAGGTGTGTGTGTGTGTGTGTGTGTGTGTGTGTCTAGGTAACACTGTGTGAGGGGAAGTATGTTATTGGGCTTTGTGCTCCCATCAGATAATGCTGTTGGGTTCCTGTGTCTGCTCTGTGCCTCTCTGGTCTCATTTGCCTAACAGATGACTGGGCCCAGAGCTGGCTTCCAGGAGGTTCGTAAACCATCAGAGCTAGAAGGAGGCTGAGAGAAAACATGGTCCACATTCCTCACTTCACATGTATGGAAACTGAGGCGCAGTGGTGAGGGAAGGGATTTGGTAAAAAATAAAAACACAGCCAAATTTATGGAGTCGGAATCTCAGTGTGGGAGAGACCTGCCCGTGATCTGTGGTTACTTGCCACCCTCTCTGGGAACCCCTTCAGTAATGTGCCTGACAGGATTCTTCCTTCCCTCCTCAGGGGACAGGGTAGAGATTTACAGTTCATCCACTTTGGGTTGGCACATCATCCCGGGCGGCTAACCCGTTTCTTTTACATCCTTTCTGAAAATTCACAGGCACATAAAAGTGTGTGAAGACGGGTTTAAAAAAACAAGTGCGTCTCTGAAACTCATAGTCTTTCATCTGCAAAATCCCCTACATCCTGAGACTCCCCTGACTTTTCCCTTCCTCTTCTCACGGGAAGCTTCAGGCTCTTTCCCGGAGCCACAACACTCCCTGTAGCCTTGTCAAATAGTGACTGGTTTTGAATAATATTAAATGTCAACTATAATTAAATATGTATATATATATATATATATAGTCACGGAATGTGGAGTACATGGGGAATATAGTCAAAGGAATTGTAACAGCTATATACGATGTCAGAGGGGTAGCAGATTGGGGGGGTTATCACTTCGTGAGGGATGTAAATGTCTAACTATTACATTGTTTTGTATACCTGAAACTAATAATAATAATAATAAAAAATAGCGACCG